ACCGCCAGCCGCTACAGCAACAGCAGCAGTAGCGGCAGCAGGAGCAGCGGCAGGAGCAGCATGAGCAGAAGCACCAGCAGCAGGAGCAGACGCACCAGCAGCAGCAGTATCAGCAACAGTAGCACCGGCAGCAGCAGCAGCAGCAGCAGCAGCAGCAGCAGCAGTTTACTTGGCCTGCGGATTTAGCTGCCCATTACTACTGTTTGCTGCTTCCTTCTGGGTGTTCTCCACTGCGTGCCGAATCACAGCAGCAAAGAGCAGCGGCAGCCCTTCTGCTGCTGCTGCTGCTGCTGCTTTGGAGGGTTTAGGGTTTGTGCTTGCTGCAGCATGAACTGTATGTACAGCTGAGGCCGTGGGGTCGTTCAGAACTACAGCTTCTGGCTGCTGCTGTTCTCTGTCTCTAAACAAGCAGTAAAGAGGGGACAAACCCTCGCTGCTGCTGCTGCTGCTGCTGCTGTTGCTGCTGCTGCTGTTGCTGCTGCTGCAGCGCAGTACGGGGATGCATTCGGGGAGGGTATAAAAGCCCCGGGAGTGGGAAGGGGGGAAAGAGGAAGCGGGGTTTTCTAGGAGGTCAAAAGGCCCTGAGTGCAAACCCTAAACCCTAAGCCGTAAGCCCTAATCCCTAAACCCTAAACCCTAAAATGTCGTTTCGCCCTTCCTTAGCTTTGCTGTGAACCAAGGGATGAGGCTTGCGACGCTGCAGCTGTTGGAGGCTCGGGCCTAGGGTTTCGGAGAGGGTTTAGGGTTTAGGGTTGAGGGTTGAGGGTTTAGGGTTTAGGGTTTACCGCAGAGTGTAAGTCCGACGGCGTGAAGAGCTTGTTTAGCGTTTAGCCCTGCTGGGGTGTACGTACAGCAGAAGTCCCAGAGGGCGAAAACGCCCACAGGGTCACTTGAGAAGTTTTCGTTTAAATAAAGACAAAATTGCTGCTGCAGCAAGACACACATTTGCTGCTGCTGCTGCTGCTGCTGCTGTTGCTGCTGCGTTTGTTGGTAAAGGGGCCGCTTGGGCGCGGGCGAGGGGGAGCGAGGTTCTGCTGCTGCTGCTGCAGCTGTTGCTGCTGCCGCCTCACTCGCTGCTGCTGCTGCAATTGGTGGTGCTGCTGCAGTTGCTGCTGCTGCTGCCTTTTCCGGTGCTGCAGCAGCAGAAGCTGCTGCTGCTGCTGCTCCTTCTGGTGCAGCTTGCTGCCGCTTGCGTTTGCCGCGGGTAGAGCCGCCTCCCATGGTGGCAAGCCGCTTAGCAGGGACGTGCCCAAACCCTAAACCCTAAACCCTAAAAAAGGGTTTGGTGCAGCAGCGTGTTCAAGTGTTTCGCTCTGTGTACACCTCAGAGTTGGGCCCTAAAACCACCAAATCCCCCCAGCTTTGCAATAATTGTCTTTTTGAGGGTTTGGGGTTTGCGATTTAGGGTGTATGGTTTGCGGTTTAGGGTTTAGGGTTTTGGGTTTAGGGTTTAGGGTTTAGGGTTTGGACAGTGGTCGAATCGGTCCCTGCAGCCGACTGGGGCCCCCCCGAAACATCGACCTCACTAAAGCCTAAAACTTAGACCCTAAACCCTAAACCCTAGATCCGAAACCCTTATTTGCGGCGTTTAATTGCTGAAGGAATGCATTTAGCTTCAAATATCGACTTCTAAACCCTAAACCCTAAACCCTGAACCCTAGGAAGGGATCCCGAGATCCTAAGGGTCTCGGAGCCGCAAAACCCTAGACCCGCAGCTCAGAAAGCATCCTACTGCAGGCTTTTCTAGAGTTTAAGGTTTAGGGTTTAGGGTTTAGGGTTTAGAACTCTCGGGCCACCATGCTTAGCTGCAGCACAACAACCCCACCCTTTTTGCAGCATCGACTGACTCCGCTGCTTCCCAGCTCGATCTAGGGTTTAGGGTTTAGGCTTTAGGGTTTAGGCTTTAGGGTTTAGGCTTTAGGGTTTAGGCTTTAGGGTTTAGGGTTTAGGGCTCATGGTCTAGGGTTTTGGGTGTAGGGTTTGGGGCTTAGTGTTTAGGGTTTAGGCCTTACGAATTAGTGTTTAAGGACTAGTGTTTGTGGTTGAGGTTCTAAAGCTTAGGGTTTAGGGTTTAGGGTTTAGGGTTTCGGTTCTTCTGCTGCGGACACAACACGCTGTCTACCAGGCAGCAGCAACAACAGCAGCAGCAACAACAACAGTAGTGATAGCAACAGCAGCTGCAGCAGCACCAGCATGAGCGCTAGCAGCAAGAGCGACGGCAGCAGCAGCAGCAAAAGCAGTGGCAGCAGGAAAAGCAGCAGCAGCAGCAACAGCAGCAGCAGCAGCAACAGCAGCAGCAGCAGCAAATGCAGCAGCAGCAGCAGTAGCACCAAAGTTACAGCTAATGCTTCCTCTCCTTGGAGATGGCTTTCTGCAGCGGCTTAGGTTATAAGGCATAAGGATAAGGGTTTAGGGTTTAGGGTTTGGATTCTAGGGTTTAGAATTGACGTTTTACAACTGAGGCTCCAAGTCTTCGTTTCCAGGATTCATGCTTGCTGCTGCTGTTGGTGCTGCTGCTGCTGTTACTATTTTGGTTGCTGCCTCTGCTACTGTTGCTGCTGCTGCTGCTCCTGCCAGTCTTATTTTTGCTGCTGCTTTTGCTGCTGTTGCTGCTGCTGCTGCCGCTGCAGCATCATCAGCAGCAGCTGCTGTGTTCTACGCAGTAGTAGCATTCTTGAATTCAGCAAGTGCAGCAGCAGCAGCAGCAGCAGCAGCAGCAGCTGATGGAATAGCAACAGTACATCTTGTGCCGGCAGTAGCTAATATTGCAGCAGCAGCAGCAGCTGCTACTACTGCGTCTGCTGCTGCTGCTGCTGCTGTTGCTGCAACAGCAGCACTACAGCAGCAGCAG